GGAATTGTCATGTGGTGGATATGTGTATAGGTTATGCGTTGGTAGTGCTCTGGTACAAGAGAGACTCTGCCCAAACTCTGTTTTGGTTACAATCCCAGTGAAGGGGATGTAATGACGTGGTGTCAGGTTATACGACATACAAGGAATCTTCCGCGAGTTGATAGGTGATCAATAGGTTGAGAAATGATTCACTGGATTTTGGGGCGTCATAGAGGAACAATGTGTAAAAGCAAGCCAAATAGAGGTATGGGGTTTCAGGACCTTTGGGCTTTTAATTTGGCCTTATTTGCAAAAAAAGACTTGGAGAATATATCATGAACGACGTACACTTTTGCATAAGGTTATAAGGGCTAGATATTTTCCTTCGTCATCTTTCATGGATGCAAAGCTAGGCCATTGGCTATCTTATACATGGCGAAGTATTCTTGAGGCCCGTTATCACACCACAGAATTCCTTAGCGGCTACTGCTATAGTGTGTGAATTATTTGAATCCTAGACTTGTTGTTGGAGGAACAATCTAGTGGATGCCTTCTTCTACCTTCATGAAGTTACGATAATTAAAAGAATACCTTTGGGAGGTTCTTCTATTGAGGACAGATTGATATGACACTTCAATGAAAATGGGCATTTTTTCAAAGGGAAATGCCTACTGTGTAGCAGAAGATCAAAATCTTGGTATGTCGGCAGCTACCACACATCATACTTTCAATAGTTTAGGTTCTACTAACTAGAATATTTTGTCGAAACATAGAGTCCAAAACAAAATTAAAATATTGATTTGGCACTTTTGTTTGGTTGCCTTACCAACTAATGAAAATCTTAGGAAGGAATATTAAGCTGGATAACTTGTGCATCGTTTTATCGCAGGGGCACTCCACATGTTACAAGAGTGGGATTGGGAAAAATTATCTTGGTTACTTAGTTCTTTTCATAGGATTTTTCATGTGCCAATCTTAGAACCAACACAATGGGTGAGAGAAATGTACCAGGTTTTGTTAATTAAAGAAAAAAGGTGGGGGCAAAGGAAAGAGCCTAGAGACCACCCTGATAGGCCTTCACTGGGGGGATCATGAGGCCTCTGACCATGCTCGTTACTCTTTTTGAGAATGAACCTAGTTAGGCTAGCATAACGGTTAACCACCAAGCTTCAATGTGAATTCCAAGACTCAAACCTCCAATCTTAGGGTGAAAAATTCGACTAATACCCCACTAGACCACCCTACTCGGTGGTAAGTATACCAGGTTTTGAATGAAGAAGAGTTCAAATTATTTTTCATTCAGTGTTGGTTGATATGGAGGCATTGCAATGATATGGTCTTTATGGTACCTCCAAAAACTCAGCAAAAATTGTCCGATCAGCTAAGGATTATACTGTCGAGCTATAGTTGGCAGTGGAAGGAAGGGCAACTGATTCACACACATCCATAGCTGCTTGCTAGATTCCCCTAAGAGTTGGGTATTGCAAGGTCAATTTTTATGGAAAAGTATTGATTGAGGGTCTTTCTTTTGGTGTCGGTACTATTATCAGAGACAAAAATGGTATATTTGTAGCCAACTTTTCAAAGAAATTGGACATAGGTGTGTTATCACTAGACTTGGAGGTAGTTGCCTAAAGGAAGCTCATTTTTTTGCTCAACATCAAGGATTTGAAGATATAGTTATGGAGGGTGACTATGGGGTTGTTTGATAACACCACTTAAGGTTTAAAACTGAATACTTTAAGCACTTAATAAATTNATCATAGAGGAACAATGTGTAAAAGCAAGCCAATTAGAGGTATGGGGTTTCAGGACCTTTGGGCTTTTAATTTGGCCTTATTTGCAAAAAAAGACTTGGAGAATATATCATGAACGACGTACACTTTTGCATAAGGTTATAAGGGCTAGATATTTTCCTTCGTCATCTTTCATGGATGCAAAGCTAGGCCATTGGCTATCTTATACATGGCGAAGTATTCTTGAGGCCTGTTATCACACCACAGAATTCCTTAGCGGCTACTGCTATAGTGTGTGAATTATTTGAATCCTAGACTTGTTGTTGGAGGAACAATCTAGTGGATGCCTTCTTCTACATTCATGAAGTTACGATAATTAAAAGAATACCTTTGGGAGGTTCTTCTATTGAGGACAGATTGATATGACACTTCAATGAAAATGGGCATTTTTTCAAAGGGAAACGCCTACTGTGTAGCAGAAGATCAAAATCTTGGTATGTCGGCAGCTACCACACATCAGACTTTCAATAGTTTAGGTTCTACTAACTAGAATATTTTGTCGAAACAAAGAGTCCAAAACAAAATTAAAATATTGATTTGGCACTTTTGTTTGGTTGCCTTACCAACTAATGAAAATCTTAGGTGAAGGAATATTAAGCTGGATAACTTGTGCATCGTTTTATCGCAGGGGCACTCCACATGTTACAAGAGTGGGATTGGGAAAAATTATCTTGGTTACTTAGTTCTTTTCATAGGATTTTTCATGTGCCAATCTTAGAACCAACACAATGGGTGAGAGAAATGTACTAGGTTTTGTTAATTAAAGAAAAAAGGTGGGGGCAAAGGAAAGAGCCCAGAGACCACCCTGATAGGCCTTCACTGGGGGGATCATGAGGCCTCTGACCATGCTCATTACTCTTTTTGAGAATGAACCTAGTTAGGCTAGCATAATTGTCAACCATCAAGCTTCAATGTGAATTCCAAGACTCAAACCTCTAATCTTAGGGTGAAAAATTCGACTAATACCCCACTGGACCACCCTACTCGGTGGTAAGTATACCAGGTTTTGAATGAAGAAGAGTTCAAATNCTCAAACCTCCAATCTTAGGGTGAAAAATTCGACTAATACCCCACTAGACCACCCTACTCGGTGGTAAGTATACCAGGTTTTGAATGAAGAAGAGTTCAAATTATTTTTCATTCAGTGTTGGTTGATATGGAGGCATTGCAATGATATGGTCTTTATGGTACCTCCAAAAACTCAGCAAAAATTGTCCGATCAGCTAAGGATTATACTGTCGAGCTATAGTTGGCAGTGGAAGGAAGGGCAACTGATTCACACACATCCATAGCTGCTTGCTAGATTCCCCTAAGAGTTGGGTATTGCAAGGTCAATTTTTATGGAAAAGTATTGATTGAGGGTCTTTCTTTTGGTGTCGGTACTATTATCAGAGACAAAAATGGTATATTTGTAGCCAACTTTTCAAAGAAATTGGACATAGGTGTGTTATCGCTAGACTTGGAGGTAGTTGCCTAAAGGAAGCTCATTTTTTTGCTCAACATCAAGGATTTGAAGATATAGTTATGGAGGGTGACTATGGGGTTGTTTGATAACACCACTTAAGGTTTAAAACTGAATACTTTAAGCACTTAATAAATTAAACTCGTTTGATAACCTAAAACTCATATTACTTAATATTTTAAACACTTCTTAAAAATAAACTAAAATTTTAAGTAGCAAGTCACCTACTTATCACTTAATGTTGAAAATGTTAGTCAGTAAGAATTTTATCAATTTCTCATAATTGACAAATATACTCTCACCACCATTGTATCATCGTCGCCATCGCCATCACTACCACTACTACCATCACCACTATTATGCAACCATCATTACCACTATCACCATCACCATCTCTGCCACCACCACCACTGTTGTCGTCATCGCCACCACCACTATCACTGTCATTACCACCATTGCCACCACCACCACAAATTGCCNCCATCATTACCACTATCACCATCACCATCTCTGCCACCACCACCACTGTTGTCGTCATCGCCACCACCACTATCACTGTCATTACCACCATTGCCACCACCACCACAAATTGCCACCACTGCCACTACTATTGTGCCACCGCTACCACCATTACCACTGTCATTACCACAACTATCACCACCACGTCACTACCATTGTCATTNCCACCACTGCCACTACTATTGTGCCACCGCTACCACCATTACCACTGTCATTACCACCACTATCNTGCCACTACTATTGTGCCACCGCTACCACCATTACCACTGTCATTACCACAACTATCACCACCACGTCACTACCATTGTCATTACCACCACGTCACCATCACCACTACCACCATTGTATTGCCGCCGCCGCCACCGTTGTTGTCACCACTACTACTATCATTTGTGATGGTGGTGATAGAAATAAGGCAGTTGCGGAGAGATGATTAAAGAAAAGGGTAAAATTAGAATAATAATAATTTTTAGACTTCAACTTTTTATATTTATTAAACAGGTTGATTAAATTCAATATTTCAATTTCAGTTGATACCAAACAGTCTGCGAATTAAAAGATTTAATATTCAATACTTAAAATTTAGTATTCAATTTTCAATGTTTAAATTTCAATTTTATCGAACACCACTTATGTAAATCAACTGAAGTTATTGAAAAGAGCAAAAATGGAGTTGCTGCACCATAGTGTTGCAATGGTAAGCATCAAGAATGTACTTCACCGTTTTAGGCACCGTGAGATAGTTCTAGTCTGTAGGAACAGTAATCGAGTTCCACCCGAGTTTGTAACGCCGTTCCTTATTTCTGACGATCCCTATAAATAAAATATTTGTCGTTCCCTAAAAAANAGTAATCGAGTTCCACCCGAGTTTGTAACGCCGTTCCTTATTTCTGACGATCCCTATCAATAAAATATTTGTCGTTCCCTAAAAAAAAATATGGATTAACGTCATCGAAAAGAAAAATTTTAAGGTGACCAAAAAAACAAAAACAAAGGAAAAGATTAACGCCATTGGAAATCAGAATGAAATTTTCCTTATTTTTGGTTCTGTAAATTTCCATTCTAATCAATTTTAGTAAATATATTTACTGCTCATTTCATGTAAGGTTTTTGAGCAGACCACGAACCATCGCTCTGTACTTGAGCCGTAGCAATTATCTTCCTCCTCCATCCACCATAACAAACACCCCTGCGGAAACCCGGAGGGTTTTGTAAGTGTATTGTTGCCGGAGAGAGAGAGACCAATGGCGGAAGACATATTCCAAGGCCTGCCACCCCCTTGTGCACCACCACCTCCTCCTATTGAACAATCTTTGAATAATAATTCGACTGACGCCAAAGAACCTTTGCCAAATCAACCACTACCATCTCCACCTCCTGCTCTCAAGAGCGCCCTCAAACGCACCAAGCCTCCTGAGTCACAACCTGAAGGTACAACATTTTTCACCCAGAAAAAACCGTATTCCTTGTGTTTTTCTTCCGAACTTTTTAGGGTTTCCTTATCTCGCATTATGTGATTCTTTAGATGAATTTAATTTATACGTTAAATGTCAATATATTCATGGTAATTGACGAGCTAATGAACTTTTTAGTAATTTATTGATTTGATTTCAGGTATTTTAGGGTTGTATGATTCATAAGAAATGTTCACTGTCAGGGGAAGGTGGTGAAAAATTGCTGTATATATTTTGAATGTTTACCATTGATTGAGGCCGCCTACTGGGTGATGGCCATTTGTATGGAATGTATGCTGAATTTCAGCCACTTTTTTCGCTTCCAATGTTCTACAAATTGTAGGAAAAATGATATTTCTCTATCTCTTTTGGTTTTTAATGATGTCGAGTCATGGACTAGAGGGAAGAAAAATAGAAACTAATCTTCTATTTTTTTTCCTGGAAAAAATCAACAAAACTGTGGCTCAAAAATCTAACATCAAGTACACAATTTGTGGGAAAAGAGAGACTTTTTTGTTTAAACTGTCATAGAATAAGAAGAGGCCTTCATGAAAATTTCTCTATCGGATTACTTTTAGTTATTTGTTGTGTTGCTTGCATTCTTACACTGTAGTGACTTTGGTGAGTACAACTTTTGGAGAGACTAGTGGGTTTACAGCCACTATAGGATTTCGTAAGGTTTTGGTTGAATATATCTTTTTTGTCTTGGTTAGGGATTAATTAATCAGACACATTTAAGGTGAGATTCCATGGTGTACATTATTTGTTAATATTGTAAATTTTGATCTATGGCAGTAAAGTGAAAATTAATAGTAACATAATAGTCTGGAGAGAGATTTTAGAATAAAAAAAATTCAACATAATTAGAAAAAGTTTCAATATATGGAATGTGAGTTTAGTAAAAGTAGACATTCAAATAGAAAGATAGTAAAAATCAAAGATCAAGAGATATCAAAAAGGAAATACTTTGAAATTTGGGGTCAATTTTCGAGCGGAAGAGATATTCTAACTGATGTTAGTCAAAATCAGAGAAAAATGTACCCAAGTCCAGATCATAGGATCGACGTATACTCTTAAATTGAAAGCTAAGTTGTACGGGGCAATCGTTAAACCATTAATGCTTTATTGTACAACATGTTGAGGAATTAAGAATTAACATGCTTACAAACTAACTGTGCTAGAAACGTGGATGTTAAGATTGATGTTGGTAAAACCTGAAAGAACAAAGTTAGAAATGGGCATATTTGTGAAATGATAAAAGTACAATTAGTAAAATATGGATTTAGAAAGAATCAATTTAGGTGGTTAGACCTAGTAATGAACCGGTGGGAAAAAGTGATGTGATATTTGAATGATATTGCAAAGGCTACAGGTATATTGAAATTAACTTAGATAGTAAAATATAATTTGATAACTTGCAGTTTAACATAAAATATAGTTGTCAATAGAGCTCAGGGGCATAATAGTATTTATATAGGCGACCTCAAATAGTTGGTATAAGGCTTTGTCGAGTCGAGTTGAGTTGTATTCTTACACCATGCATAAGCTGAGTTGTCCATGGTTTTTTTCAGCTACTGCTCCAGAAAAGCGCTTGAGGTTCAAAACAACAACTGATGCCTCGGAAATGCAAGTTATAGAGGCCATGCAGAAGATATCATCCCATATAAGTAACCCGTTGAAGTTCAGTAAGGCGTCAAAGCTTGCTATCCAGATGATTCAGGCTGGTAGTGTGAAGCCTGGAACCAGCAACTATTTTTTTGCCATTCTTGAAGCTGCAATGTCGTCACTAACTTGTAATGAGCCATCAGTCCGAGCAGACTATCATGCATTATTTTCAGCAGCACAAGATGCAGTCGAGGTGAGCATTTTGTTTCTTTATATGAAATCTTCATCAATTATTCTTAGAAAACATCTGCGGGAAGCTTATATTTAAATTTCATTTCATTGTAGTGCCTAGATAAGAAGCAGAAAAACCAACTAACTGCGTGGACAATCAGGGCTGTCATGGCGAATGATTTGTTCATTGATGATAGCTTTGTGGTATTCTTCTTTCTCATGCTTAATTTTTTACATAACCTTTTCAAATGCCAGCCAAAGAAATCAATATTTGACAGGATGATGTTTGAGCAGGGTTAATGCTAAAACATATGACACTCGTGCATGCTTTAGCACTAACTTAAGGTTTGCAAAAATCTTGTGACTCATGCTAGAAAATGAAATGTTGCATACTCCAATAAGATTTTGTGAGACCAATTATTGTTTGTATATCAGGTATTAATTGCAGCATGTAAATCATATATCATGTGAAAAAAGTTATGTATCAATAGTTGAGTTCTGATTCACGATGTCATATAATGTGTAGTAAAATCACCAATGTCCCATATCGAATCTTGTAGTAGCATATTAGGTAACTAAGAAGTCAAATTTTTATATTTGGAAACTGTGAATTTAAGTCAGCGTCTTCATTTAAAATTTACTGTGAATGTTTTTCATGAGGTACTAAGTCCTTTGTGATGTTACGTGTGTTTTTACTGTCTCGTACTTGCAGTTATATAACCAAGGAAAAAGTATTATGTGGAGGGAAATCTATATAAAGGATGAAAAGTAAATTTCATTTTGCCTGAAAATGGAGCTTGTAATGATTCGTGTTGGATATTATGATTGAAAAGCAAGGCTCATATTAAGATTGAAAAAAAGGCTCAGATGGATCAAGTGCCACATTTTAGGACAAGTTATTGCATAGATCCTTGGATTTTACACCTGATTTTAACTATATAACTCGTAGTCCAACATTGGACATCTCAGCATGAAAGACATAAATGCCCAGTTTAATATAATTTCAAACTTTCTTGTGTCTCCGGACTAAATTTTATGCTCTTAAATTGATGTTTTCTGCAATTGGTTCCTCCTCTATGTTAGCTAAGAAAGGATGTCTAAGAGTGGGTATTCATGCTTTATTTTCAATCGATTAAGAACCTAAAAAAGCAGTGTTAATATTTTTGTGATTCTTTTAATATTGAAGCACCTCAAGCTTCTGGGCCGATTATTATAACGTCATGGGTTCAAGTTCAGTAATCAACCCCAGTAATACAGGCGTAAAGCTACTACTACTACTTGCATCTCCCAAACCCTGTTATAGACAGGAGCCTTCTCCAGCGGGTAAGACATGTTTAAAGAATTTAGAAGTTGATATTTAAGAAACATGAATATAGTTGGTCGCTGGGACAATGTGCACATCATTAGCCCACAGCAGTCATATAGCATGACGGCGTAAAATAATGTCTTCTTTGAGACATGTTGTGTTCGTGTCCTGTGTCCGTGTCTTGTGTTCGTGCTTCTTAGAAAGCATGTAGCTAGTCTCCGTTCGCACTTTACAACAATGGGGAACCCCTTTTTATGTAGTGGCTAGGGCAAGGTATCAGTGGTGACGGCCCCTCGGCTCCACGCTGGCCAGTCTAGCCTGGCTTTTCGGATGAAAATCAACCATAAAAAGATTGGCTAAAAAAGAAAATTCGTAATAATTGTTGGTGTAACAATCTTGTGGCGACTGTGGACTGAAATGTAAACTGATTTCTTGATTTTACAATAACATTGGAGGAGTTGCAATTAAAATATTTTACTTACGATCGTGACAGATTCCCAATATTTAGTAGCCTTGATGACAAATCTAACNTGTAAACTGATTTCTTGATTTTACAATAACATTGGAGGAGTTGCAATTAAAATATTTCACTTACGATCGTGACAGATTCCCAATATTTAGTAGCCTTGATGACAAATCTAACGGCTCCTATTTGGACCACCATCATCTATCCTTAGGATAGTTTTGAAACAGGATGCTCTGAACTAGGCAAACAAATGGCAGGGTAAGAGTGTGACTACTAAGGCACAATCAAACTTGGTTTATGTTCCACTCTACTGTGTCAAAATTTGCACAATTGCATCTGTTTCGAATTCAAGGGGGTGTCAGCAATGGCCCCAAGCATAGACGTCTCAACGATCTTGATCGGGTCGGGATTTAGTTTTTGGTCACTACCCTGGTTATTGGGGCTAGGTTTTAGATTAGTTAGTGTGGAAGTTTCGTTATTTCTCTAGTTTGGCTTTGATTTTGTAGTTGTGGTGTTTTGTAAAGGTTGCAAAAAAATGTGCATTTGTTTTGGTGGGCAATAGAACTAGTTCAAGTCATTGAGACAACAATAGAAGTAAAAGTAGAAAGCAATGTATATCTGGGGGCTTTGACAACAACAAATTTCCTTATTTCAAATATTTGTGGGCAAATTTCATTTTACCCTCCCATAATTAACCGCACTTCTAGGAAGCACGGACACTTAGTCAGAGGTCGACGTGGTAGTGTCGGGCATGTGTCCGACATGGATACGCGTGGGACACGGGTCCGACACTTCTATTGGTGCTAGATACGTGGTNGGAAGCACGGACACTTAGTCAGAGGTCGACGTGGTAGTGTCGGGCATGTGTCCGACACGGATACGCGTGGGACACGGCTGGACACGGGTCCGACACTTCTATTGGTGCTAGATACGTGGGGATATGGTGAATAAGGGGTTAAATAAAAAGGGAAGTTTGTTGACTAAACAGAGAGTAGAGAAAAAGAGAGAGAAGAGGCATACCAGATCTGTGTCAACATTAGCTTTCAATCTGCTTCAGCCTTCAAGCCGCCTTCCTTCTTTCCTTCTTCTTGCTAATACCGTGATCGGTGCCCTAGCTGCAATCTTCTATGTAAGTACCCTAGTCGACTACCTTTTTCTTCCTCTCTCTCCCTCGACTGATCAGACAACGTTATATTAATATTTTTCTCTTTTTTTTTTGGTANCTGTGTCAACATTAGCTTTCAATCTGCTTCAGCCTTCAAGCCGCCTTCCTTCTTTCCTTCTTCTTGCTAATACCATGATCGGTGCCCTAGCTGCAATCTTCTATGTAAGTACCCTAGTCGACTACCTTTTTCTTCCTCTCTCCCTCGACTGATCAGACGACGTTATATTAATATTTTTCTCTTTTTTTTTTGGTGTAATTTATTTTTAGTTGTCAAATAAATTAACCCACAACCCATTTTTTTGTTTTCCCATAACCCAATTTGGTGTTAGCCCACTGTCGAATTCTAACATATTAGTCCACTGCCTAATTTAATATTAATCTATTACTTAATTGTAAGATATTAACTAACTACTCAATGATATTTAGGTCTTATTATTAATGTTATTTATATAAAAAAATATATAATATTATTTTAATTCGCCGTACCCATGTCTTATATTTTGAAACTTTGTCGTATTCCCGTGTTTGTATCGTATCGGATATGATACCCGTGTCCATATCTGTGCATCCTTGCTGCTCTTGCTATTCATCTCCTTATGGTTCAAATATGACCACATACCCTCACGTGGTTTTGGACTACCATGCACTATATTACAGTCCAATTTAGCTGTTCTTTGCGGATTCCTTGGGAAACAAATGTGAGCAAACGTATGTTATTGATGGTTTTGTCAGGACGTTGAAGTTGGTTTTTCGACTAAGCATAGTCTCCCTGATGAAATAATGGTGTTTGGAGGCATGTTTAATTTTCAAACCACAATGATTAAGCCATTGTCTAAAAGAGGTTGTAATGTTTCGATACTATTTAAGGGAATTTCGTAATTAAAATGGGTCATTAGCTGTAGTGTGAACTACTGTTTTGGAAGTGAACAGCAGTAGAGTATGTAACTTCTAGAATTGTTTGCAAGATTGTTTGCCCGAGACAAGAATAATGCTGTTGTAGTAGACTCGGGAGGATTATAAAGGTTTCTGTTGATAGTAAAGCAGGAGAAATAACCTTTTTGGTGGGTGCTGGGGGATACACACAATTAAAGGTCTTATTTTGGCACCTGTATCAGCTTCAGATATGAGTCTTGTGGTTTCTTGGCTTAGGACCATAGAAATTAAAATTCCTTTGCGCTAGAAACGTTAAAGCCAAAAAAATTGGCTTGTAATTATTGATTCTGGACAACAATTCACTAGCTTGTCTAGTGAAACTAGAAGCATCAATGCCTGTGGAAATCTCGGGTCTTGGTTTTTTGAGCTTCTAAAGTTTGATAGAGGGACTAAACTGGAATTCTTGTATAAGAGGAAATGATTGTTGTCCTGATCTCTGATAGCAAACAACCTCTCAATTTCTGATCATCTCAATTTCCATTGTGAAGTAATTTCACCGGATTGGTGAAATTTGTTGATCAGGCTTGCCAAGCTTAAACAGGTCACTTAATGGGGCAAATGTAACTGCTGCCACTCTATTTCTAATTGACATTATAATGATTTGTAGAAGTCAGTCACCAAGATCCTTACTGTTAATCTTTTTTTTCAACTTCCATGGTTATTCTCAGGTCGGATCAAGTTTTTGTGGTTAAGTCACACATTGGTGGATATTTTCAATTGTTCTAATTTTATCTGGAGATTTGTTTTCAAATATTTTACGTACTAGGGGTAACCAGTGCCTGATGGCATGTTACAACGTAAACCAACCGGTTAATTTGAAAAAAAGTTACTTTAATTTGTTTTAATTAAAGAAATTGAAATCAATATAGTCCTCAAATATTTTTTGGGGACTATTTAGACAAAGCTTGCTCTAAAAATAGGAGCAAGGAAAATCTCAACCTATCCACAAAACTCAAAGTTTCTTGAATGCACAATACAATCGAACCTAAAATTCACAATTCACAATCATACATAACAATAATCATAGTTTACAATTAAAATTCTCCCAAAAATCACTATTTCGAACCCAACTGCCAAACAACCATCAATTCCAATCAAAATAAACCAATCACACAATGTGTGATTAGTTCACTTTACTAAACTCGGGACAAATACAACAGACACGCAAAGATNTCGAACCCAACTGCCAAACAACCATCAATTCCAATCAAAATAAACCAATCACACAACGTGTGATTAGTTCACTTTACTAAACTCGGGACAAATACAACAGACACGCAAAGAGAAAACTATCATCAAGATACGCAAAGAAAAAACTAAGGAAGACAAGAAGTGCCTGAAGGCAATTTGCAACTCATGCAAATCCGATTAATTTGATGTAGGTTATTCTTTATTTTATTTAAGTAAAGAAAGTTAAATCAATCTAGTAA